TAACCCGTAAAAACCTTCCCCGCCAAGTGACCTGGACCCCGGAGTGTGAGCAGGCATTTCAGCTGTTGAAAGATGCATTGACCAATGCCTCTGTCTTGGCAGCTCCCAATCCAACTAAACATTTTCTTGTCCACACAGACGCTTCTATGTTTGGATTGGGAGCAGTACTGAGCCAAGTCGGGGCCGATGGCGGAGAACACCCCGTGGCTTACATCAGCCGGAAGCTGTTACCTCGAAAAGTAAGCTACGCCGCCATCGAGAAGGAATGCTTGGCTGTGGTGTGGGCCCTGAAGAAATTACAGCCGTATTTGTATGGGCAAGCTTTTTCCCTGCTCACGGATCACAACCCGTTAGTATGGCTAAACCGGGTGGCTGGGGACAATGCCAGGCTACTGCGCTGGAGTCTGGCGCTGCAGCCCTTTGACTTTAATATCCAGTACCGCCCGGGTAAACAGAATGGAAACGCTGACGGGTTGTCAAGACAAACTGGCCTAGAGAAATGATCCGTGAGCCTCCCCGGACATCCCCAAGCCGATCCGTGTTGGATCAGACTGTGTATGCCGGCTTGTGGGCAAGGGGGAGCAGTGTAGCGGATGGCACTGGGCTGTCCTGCAAATGTATTGTGAATAACTGCATTCGTGTGATCTGCTGTTGTTATATGTTGTTAAAAGAACTGTATTCCTCTGATTGTTCGGTAGTTTCATTCCCTTAGTTTATTCGAATGAAACTACCGAACAATCAGACCTCCCCTGTGTGAAGTGTGTCCTCAATTACCCATTGCAACATTGTTGCGAACGGGTAATTGACAAGTTAAGTAGCCGTCCTTTGTTCTCCGGGGTGGCCGCCATTCGACAAACGAACACGTGGCGGCGGCCATTTTAAAACTCCCGAACAGCGGTGTTTTGCCGTCGAGTGTCTGGAACTCAAATTGGACACTCGAGTAGGCGAACACCGCTGAAACCTCCACAAGCCCAGTCCGTTCGGTTCCTAACTAGAACCGAACGAGGGGATTCAGGCGAACCCTCCCTAGCCTCTATAGCTAGAGGCTTTCGTGTAGTTTGTTACCTTATTCCAGGACCGACCGCAGGGCCCACTCGCATGGAACCACATTCGGCTGTCTCAGTTAGTGCGGTCATTTTATTCCCTCCATACATTTCCCGAACCCCTGGTCTGATCTGGGTGATTTTTGGATATGTTGTTCACCCAGATCATGGCTATCAGGGGGTGTAGGATTTAAAGGGGTACCCCTACGTTTAGGGGTACATCCAGAAACGGGGGGAATTACTGTACTGGATAAGGGGATTATGATGCTGGCTGAGGGGAGGAGATGTGTGGGAGGTTACCAGGACAGGATTGGCTACTGTACTAATGATTGTAAATCCCTCCCTTACCACATGAGTTTGTGGATAAATGAATACAAGTGTATGTTCTTCTCTATTACCCTCTATGTAATTGAGCCGAAAGCTCAGAGAAATTGTACCATCGATACATATCACGTGGTACATGCGTTCCAAGGTTGGAACGCAAAACCCGGAAGCGGAAATGACGTATTCGTTCCACGGCTGGAACGCAAAACCAGGAAGCGGAAGCAAAATGACAGCCAAAATGGAAGGGGGGTTGAAACCACAGTCAATTAAGCACCATTCAAAATGAACCCACGGACAAGACACAGCAGCAACGGAGGAAGTGGATGAGGCGATTTTGCACCATAAAAGGACTATTACAAAGGACTTACCTTCCAAATTGTAAGGTTTTTAATGTAATTTTAATATTTTATTCACTTTTGTGCACTTTACAATAAAGCACCCTACATTTTACTGATTATTGTGAGGACATCCTCTTGCTTGAAACCAGCAATCAGCACAAAGAAGGAAGTGGACACCTTTAAATGCCACAAGGCTGGAAATCTAAACCGATCTTTATGGCTCTACGCTTGTGAGTGCTTTTCTACCTACTATTGAACTTCAACATTGTGTATAGGCTATATTGCACTATATTGCGTCTGTTTTTATTTTATCTATAGATAATATTGGTCCAGTCATTATTTTAATGAAAAGAAAAGAAACTCCGCCTTATACTGTATGTATTGTTTATTCAAATAGTTTGTTTGAATTTGCCTGAATGCATTACTAAATGCTGACTTTGAACTTTTGTAGAATTCATACTAACATGCCTGTTTTAGTTCCCCTCTGAAGACCAACATCAAACATTCAAGCACTGGTGCAATGACAACATGGTGAACAGCAGAACTCTCCATTTTCAGTGCATTTGACTGGTCTTCAAGCAGCAATAGGTATCTCTATTATTTCTGATAGAGCTAAATGCCACTCTTCCTACCTGGAAATTTCTGCATTGCCCCGGAGGCATGGTAATGAGCTGTCAAGTCCACAGCCTCTGGGCCAGACCTGGCAAGTTCCCAGCTTTGTCCAAGACACTGGCAGCTTGTGCTGACAAGTGAGACTGATTTCAAGGATAACTCAACCTTTTTATCGTGGGTTCATAAATCAAAATGTAATTTCTATTCATTTCAATAATATTATTTATGGCGTTTTGAAGATCCATGGTTCATTTATTTATTTTTTCGGAGCCCAAAAAGACTTCTACATCATGGGCACTAGGAGAGTCCAACTGGTGTTCATACCTGAACCATGATCTCATGCACAATCTTGTCACTCTGGTTTGATGTACTCTTACACTTTCTCAGCTTGCAGTCGGCAATATTAATGAAAGCAAGCATATCTGACGTTATTTCGGAGAACAGTTCTACTTGGGCAACGATTAAATTTATCATTCATATCTATTACCATTGCGTTTACATTAGTTGTTATTTTGGTAGGGCATTGTGAACTATTCTTATTGAGGTTAGAAAAAGTCTAACTATATAAAAGTTGTGCTTAATAATAAAGATGACAATCTTACCAGCATAGTAAATTCAGAAAGAAAAGAAAAAGAAAAATGAGAAACAACGAACGCTTTTGAAACGTGTATAAGCCTTTTTTTTTGTTTTTGTTTTTTACTTTCACTGTGAAAAGTGGATGGCAATGGAACAAATACAAACTTTGTAACTTTGGAGTGAGAATATGCATTCAAATAACGTTCCCTACAAAATAAACCTGGATATATTAACACTTCTTAATGTTTTCGTTATTTATTCGTTATGACTAAGATATCTGTGGCTTTATTTTTAGGAGTACTGAGTATAAATATATTAAATTGTTAAATCGTTAAATGAGACTACAAATAACTTGGTAGATTAGGGGCTAGGGGGGATTTTTTACTTTTCCTCATTGTTTAAATTTTTTTTATTTGAAAGCTTCACCTATACCCGTGATCTCGCCAGACCCTTGGAGTGATCAGCATAATGCAAGGTGGTTGTGCACATTTCCATTTGCATGTCTCTGCATATGTAATGTGATCATAAGTGTTGCTATGCATATTTAAAGATGCGTCTGGTGAGGTTATGCATTCCGAGGCAGGAGTGAACTGACGGAAAATTTTGCATGCTATGAGGTCATGCCAGTAGCAAAAGATTCCTGCATGGCTTTTATTACGCCAATTCCAATGAGTTGCATTGCATTCTAAACACCAGTGAAAGTCTGTATTTTTCTCATATTCTCTAGGGCTTCACACCCTCAAGTGAGTGCTAGGAAAGGGCAGACAGGTTAGATCTAATGCCAACGTGGCATTTGAATTAATTGGAAAACCAAGACTATTTTCTGAAATAATTATGAATCAAGGAAGCTCTTCTGTGCTAAATACTGTCTGCCTTATACTACAGAGACAAAAGCCATTATTCAAAATGAGGCGTACAGCAGATGTGGCGAATTTCAACTTTTATTAGGGAATGCCACGGTCGGCAATGGCAATTAAAAGGTGAAAACCGTTAAATCCGTTTTAATCCTCATACATAATAAGTCTGTATGGGTTGTTTTTTTTTTTAATTTTTCTTTTCATGATAGATTCCCTTTAAATCACACACACACACACAAAAATGTCTGCTCGTAGAAGTCTGCTGGTTTAACCAGCAAACGCTGACACAGCTTTGCCATTCGCATAAATGCAAAAAGATTTCAATGGCTTTTAAATGACAGCTACCATCTGTACAGCGTCGATAAGTCTCATCGGCACTCGATAAATTCCCAACATGCAGTGGGAGCAAGTGGGTTGCTTTTGGTTTTACTCTTCTTTACAACTGGCTTTGTTGTTGCTCGTGGAGACAGTAGAAAGGTTTTAAACCACCGTAGGTTTCTTCTTCAAGTATTCCTTGTATTCAAGTATTCTAAGCGGATGGAAGTACAAGAAAAAAAGCAAACGTTGTAAAGACGAGCAAGGCTGTGCATGAACAAGCACAGGTTGCCTGTGAATGTAAAGATATCCACGTGTATAAGGAAACAAACGATAGCATGATTGCAGCAGGGAGCACTGCGGAAACTCGTGGTTTGATGGAGTAGGCAAAGAGTGGGAATTAAACATGCTGAAGAGGCACGGGAATTCTTGCAGACATTTGGGCTTTCAATTGAAACTGAGAAATTAAGCATTGCATGCTAAGCAAATGTTGTAAGAGAGCATGGAGAAGAGACCGATGAGACAAAGCTATAGATCATAAACAGAGCAAGCTATAGTATTTCTAGTACGTTCTTTAAATACAGATCAAAGGTTTGATACGGGAACGAACAGACACAGTCTTAGAACATTCCAAGCTCCATAAAATGAGTACTGTAGAGTTAGGTAATAATATAATTTATTGCTAAGTCTCTTTCGTAAGATGAAACATGTGAGAATTAATAAGTTTGCAGCCTGTAAGTTAATATTGAA